TGTGTGTGTGTGTGTGTGTGTGTGTGTGTGTGTGTGTGTGTGTGTGTCCCAGTGTGGAAATTCCCTTCATCAATGCAAATCTCCAACTCTGTAACTTCTTTCTTTTTTAAATTAATTTATTTTGATTTATCAACAATCACTTCCATATGCTTTTGAGTTTAAAATTTTTCTCCCCCTTCCTCCCCATAACCCTCCCCCAAGATGGCACACAATCTGATATAGGCTATACATACACATTCCTATTAAACATATTTTCACATTAGTCATATTTTAAGCATAGCAGGAATAGCATGAACCACCATAAAGAGGAAACAAAACTCAACAGAAGAAAAAAAATGGCAAATAGTATGCTTCGATCTGCATTCAAACTCTATAGTTCTTTCTTTGGATGTGGATAGCATTTTCCATCACAAGACCTCTGGAGATGTCTTAGATTCTTGCTGGGAAGGGTTAAGTTTATCAATATTAGTTATCAAACAACATGGCTGTTACTGGGCACAATGTTCTCCTGGTTCTGCTCACTTCACTCAGCATCAGACCATAGAAGTCTTTTCAGGTTTTTCTGAAGTCAGCCTGTTCATCATTTCTTATAGCACAATAGTATTCCATTACATTGATGTACCACAACTTGTTCAGCCATTCCCCAATTGATGGGCATTCTCTCAATTTCCAATTCTTTGCTACCACAAAAAGAGCTGCTATAAATATTTTTGTACATGTGGGTGCTTTTCCCATTTGTATGATCTCTCTGGGATATAGCCCTAGAAGTGCTACTACTGGGTCAAAGGGTATGCACATTTTTATAGCCCTTTGGGCATAGTTTCAAACTGTTCTCCAAAATGGTTGGATTAGTGTTCCAATTTTCCCACATCTTCTCCAACATTTATCATTTTCTTGTTTTGTCATCCTGGCCAATCTGATAGATGTGATGTTGTACCTCAGATCCAACTCTGTAACTTCTAGTCATAGAAAGGTACATGGGCACTGAAAGGTTAAGTGATTCAATTGTGGCTGTTTTAGTCATTTTCAATCGTGCTTGACTCTTTGTGACCCATTTTTGGAATTTTCTTGGTAAAGATACTGGAGTGATTTGCCATTTCCTTTTCCAGCTCATTTTACAGATGAGAAAATGTGTAAACAGGGTTAGTCTAATTGCCCAGGGTCACAGTAAATGTCTGAGGTCAGATATGAACTCAGGAAGTTGAGTTTTCCTGACTCCAGGCTTGGTACTGTGAGTATTGGAACCTTCAGTGCCTCAATTATTCCCTATTACCCCAGGCCATTAACTCTTTACTGGCCTCATTTTCCTCCTTGACTTTAACAATGCTGTCTTCTTTGCCCTTTAATCTTCTGCTACTTCCTCCCCAATACCACTCAACCTTGAGTAATTTCTACCATTTGCCTCTCACCAACTACTTACGCTCAAGATGTCTAACGTAGTTGGAGAAAATCAGTATAAATCTATTCCATCAACCATTTGAAATACGGCTTCTGTACCCAATACTATAATGTTACACACTTAGATCAACATTATTATGGCCAAAAAAAAGATCCAGCTCTGGCAGAAATCACATCTCTTCTTGCCTAGACTATTTTAAGACATATTCTTGCTTCAACACTATCTCTTCTCCAATTCATGCTACACGTTATCCAAGTTATCTTTTCAATGCACTGCTCTATTTGAGAGGCAGGATAGTACACTGGATAATACACTGGATTTGGAGAACACTCAGGTTCTTACCCCACCTCTGCCACTTACTATATCATGTGACCTTGGACAAGTCACTAGCCTCTCTAGGCCTCAGTTTTCTCACCTGTAAAATGAAAGGGCTGGAATAAAGATGGACTCTAAGGTCCCTTCCAGTTTCAGATCTGTAAGCCTATGATCATGTCACTATTCTACTTAAAATCTTGAGTGGCTCCCCAATGCCTAAAGGATCAAACTTAAATTCGTAATTTTAGCATTCAAGACTCTCCACAAGTCAACCCCATTCTATGTGTGCAGCCTCCTCTCTTGCTGCTCCTCTTGTATTCTATATTCTAGCCAAAATCGCCTATTCTCTGTGTCCTGTTCTATCCTGCCCTTTCCCATACCAATCTTTGGTCACTACTCAATAGGCTTGGAATCTACTTGACCCCCCACCCCAATTATGTCCAAAGTCCCTCCCTTCCTCCAAGGTACAACTCAGGGCAGCTCCTTTTGTGAAGTCTTCTTTAACTCCTTCAGAGAAGAGTGATCTTTCCCACCTCTTACATCTTTACACAGCTACCAGTATCCTTACAAAAAAACACAAGAAGAGCCCTGGACAAGGTTCTGTGAAGTCAGAGGTCAGGAAGAAGAGTGGCAAAAGTGTGCAGCTTCACTGAGAGGAGGTCTCCAACCTGCACTGCACAAGGCAAGGGCTGTAATGCAGAACTGTGGCTGCTGCCAAACAGGGAAATTCTGGAGGCCTTCTTCTCAGCAGCAGCAAAAGCTGCAGGGAGATACCTTGCACTACCTGCAGGAATGAAGTGCCTCTGCAGGAGGAGCTGACAAGAATTTGCAGGAGAACTCATCAGGAACAGTAATGCCTGCCATCACTTGATGCAAGTTAGTTCCTGTTATCAGAAAGAGTAAGCCTGGCAGCACCTGCTGCGAACAGCAGGAAGAAATCTGCCTTTGTGACTAATCATGGCAAGAAGAGACAACTTTAAACTCAGAAGAACAATAACCTTGAGAACAACAGAGGACTGAGGACTGGTTCCCGTTCCCAACAACTATGAAGGGCAAAAAGAAACTGCAGTGACCTGCAGCTAGCACGTGATGTTTACCTTTCTGCCATGGATGAATAACTGTAATCTATGCCCGAAGTAAAGGGTGATATCTTTCCTCTGAAGAGAAGGAAAATGGGCTTGAAGAATAGCTCTCCATCCTCCAGGTTACCAGGGAAAAAGAGACGTTATTTCAAAGAACAATTATGGTTTCATTATTAACAATGAAGAAAAAAGGATCTGATGGGGCAGAAAGAATTCTTGACTTTTGTCAGGTGGCTAGAGGGTAGAAGCTTGGGACAAAAAGAAGGAAGTAAAGAAGGACCACTGAACACCTGGGGTTAACAGGTATGAGCCTCTTCCTGCAGAAGAGGGAGCTGGACTAGATACAAAGAGAAGTCATTAATGGGTGGATACCAACTTGGGAGGGTAAGACTCTGACAGAGTAGCCCATATACTCTATTCTCAGGCTTATGCATGGATATATATAGGTTAAAGGGACCTCAGAGCTCATTCTAATTCAAACCCTAGATAGCATAGATGAGAAAATTGCAGCCCAAAGAGGAAGACTTGTTCAAAGTTTTATATATATAGTAAATAGAACTGGGATTCAAAATCAGGCCTTCTGACTCCAAATTTGGTACTCTTTCCCCTATATCATGCATGAATTACATCATAAAACACACAACAAATCTAAAATTAATACAATTTTAAGAAATGAATACAAATATTAAATTACAAGGATCGAAAGCTGTCTTCCACAAATCTCTCCAAACGCAAACAGTTTGACTACAGTTTTAAGAATCTAAACACTGAAATAAAATTTGTAAATGTTACTAGAAAGTAGGTCAAAAGCAGTCTTGTAAACAAATACAAAAATCAGCAGATTTTTAAAAACCACTCCATGATAGTATAGCTATTTAAAAGTCATAGTTAGTAGCAGCACTATAGTTTATTTTTTTCCTTGCTAAGTATAAAGTATACTACTTTCTACTAGTATAATATAGACTGTTAGCCTAGAGCAGTAGTCTAGAGTAGTACCTAACAGACTAAGTAGTTTTTTACAAACAACTTCCCCCTCCCTCCAAACGAATTCATAAACAGAAGCTTGCCCCAAATTTCAGAATTACCTTCTAGTGATATTTGTGAATCAAAGTTGGTTACTTCAGTCTTGAGTTGTAGTTTGTTAAGGGAAGGAGGGTGAGTGTCTTGTGCAGAAATATTCTCTTGTCTAGTTGAGCTGGGAGCCTGAGAACCATTCCATATGGAAGAAGTCCTGTAGCTCTTGAATCTCCAATGGAAAAAATTGCCAGAAGACTGCTCAGGCAGTGCCAAGAGTCCATGTAAAGTTGTTTTTCTTGGTCTCATTAACTGATTTCTAAATTGCATGATGGTGATGAAATTTCTTATTTTTACTGAATAGAACCATTTGGGTATCTGCTGAGCTGGCAGAGCCATTTTCCATATAATGTTGGTATCTATAAAAGTATACAATAAATAGAAGTTTAAAAAAAGCTAAAAAATATTTAAACAAGCAAAACAATATATTCAAGGTAGGAAAAAAAAAGTCCTTATTAAAAATGAGCCCTTCAGTAGGTACAAAAAATTGACCATAGCTTTAGATCTAGAAAGGAGTCCAAATTCAAGCCCTTCATTTTGGCGAAACTGAGCTCCAGGGAGGTTAAGTCACTTTGATGAAGTCACATGTGTGTGTGTGTGTGTGTGTGTGTGTGTGTGTGTGTGGTATTTAAGAGACAGATTTGAAATGAGATCCTCTGACTCCAAACTCTTTCCACTGTACCAACTGTTCTTTATAGGGTTTTTCTTGGCCATGAAGAGAAGTTAAGAACCAGGATCTTCAAGAGAAAGACTGGAAGGAATCTGCAGGATGTAGATGTGCAGATGGACGAAGAACCTAAGACTAACAAACACATAAAACACACAAGTTCAAAATACAAGGCAAAAATTTAAGTGGAAGAGAAAAACATTTAAGACAAATATCTATAATTGTGTCAAATGTATCTATCAATTTGAGACTTCATATTTAGAATTCACATTTCAGGAAGAGAGGAACATGAGAACAATTTAGTGTCCTGAAATTCAATCTTCAAGCAGCAGATTGTGAGCCTGAATATCAGTATTACTGAAATGTGTTTTACTGACTATAAAAGCTGTTAAAATAGAAACACAAAGAAATCATCTCTGCCTTATATGAACTATCAAAACATTTATTATACTACATGTAGAACAGTGAATGCTATTTCTTTTGCTTCAGCCACAGAGTTGAGCTAACACTTGATTATTTCAAGAACAAAACTGTTTTCTAAAACAAGAATTGATCATAACAAAAGCAGCTCTGTTGAGTCCTGTTACATTAGTAACAGGGGGGTGGAATTACATGGAGAAAAATAATGTAGCTTTTAATGAAAAAGGTCACAACTGGATGAAATGACAGCAATAAGCAAGAATCTGGCAGCAAACAAATATAAATTTCTCTCCAACTAAAAAAAAAATGTAAAAGAGAGATTATCATTGGGGAAAGATGCTATTCAACCCCCGCAAATCTTCCCTTTTCTAATGAAGATGTTTATGAGAATAACAAATGCTTTTTAAAGACATTTGTAAATTTAAAAGGCCAATCTGGCTAGACAACAGTCTTTTTCCTAACGTGAATATATCATGAATCAACATTTCAGGCTGAATTAATCAAAACTGAAATTAGGATTTTAAAATTGCTTGAATTTATCTACTAATAATTTTGCTTCTAGACTTTCCTTGTTGGCTTTCTTGGCCAATAAAGAACTTCAAGTAAGGTCCAAATTACTTTGATTCTATTTTTTACCTTTAAAATTTATTGATACATATTGTTTTCACATAAATACCTCTCAGTATCCAAACATCATTACAAAGTACATTCTCTATTTATCATTTGTCAATAAAAAGGAGGAATGGTCCTTTAATTTTGACAACATAAAAATGATCACTCTAAGTGACCAAACTATTGCTGTCCCTCCCTGTTGATATTATTTACATTATTGTAGTCAAAGCCTGTCACACAGTAGATTCTTAATACATGTCTGATTGCCAGTTTGTTTCTTTGACATAACTATTCTTCCTTCACTCCATAACCTTATATAAATCTTCACATTTCTCTAAATTCTTTATAGAACTACAAAATTCACGTCTAAATTTTAATGAAAATGAAACCTAAATTTGATCACAAAGCCATGAAACAAAAAGTACTGACAGGAGAGGACACTGAGGCTTAGTGATTAAATCGGGAATCCACATAGTCTTTATTCCACATGGTACAACAATAATTCATCTGCCTAACCAATGGACACATTTTGTTTCTTGTTTTTTGAAATTATGAAATCATGCTACTATGAATATATTTCTATTTTCTTGCTCTCAACATACTTTTTGAAATATAGTCACAATACTGAACTCTTTGGGCAAAAGTATACAAACAACTTAGTGACTTTTCTCTCATAATGCCAAATTACTTTCCTGAACAGGTGAAATAATTCCTTATTACAAAACAATGAATTAGTGAGCCACCTTCTCATAGTCTCTTCAACAGTTTTACCATTTTCTAACATCTTCGCTAGCTTGATAAGTTAAGTTTCAGTGTTCCTTTAATTTAAATTTCTCTAATTAGTTATTTTGAACATTTTCCAGGTTGTTATTGAGAGTTTACATAATCTTCTTCCATAAACTTTGGTCTTACATAGCCTTTGACTACTTGTCCTTTGGGTTTTGATGTTCAGTTGTGTCCTATTCTTCAGGACCCTGTGGTCCCCAGAGTGCTAATATTGTCCATGAGGTTTTCGTGGCAAAGATACTGGAGTAGTTTGCCATTTCCTTCTCTATTGGATTAAAGAAAACAGAGGTTAAGTGATTTGCCCAGGGTCACACAGCTAATAAGTGTTTGAGGTCGAATTTGAACGCAGGTCTTCCTGACACCAGGCTCAGAGCTCTATCCACTGAACCACCTAACTGCCTGTCCTTTGTCCTTTGGGACATGGTTCTTAATCATATATATCTGCGTCCCTGACTTTAAATGTCAGACTTTTATCACTTATTTAAAAGATTTTCCCTACTTCATATTTTCTTCTGATTCCAGCTACATTGATTTTATTTTTGCAAATTTTCTGAATTTTCTATAATCTAGATTTTCTCTTTTGTCTTTCATCATCAGGAGCGGTAAAGTACAAGGGAAAGAATATTGGCTTTGGAGTCAGAAGACCAGGATTTAAATCCCAGATCTTATAATTATCACCTAACCAAGATGGGATTCACGTCCTCTTTTGTAAAAGGAGGGGGTTGGACTAACTGGCCTACCAACTGGTAGTGTGTTGTTATTCTCTTTTTGACCCAATTGTAATAAGAGTGAGGGTAAAGTGCTCCTGCCTACCTCCACCCCCCCCCCATGTCTTCCCCTCCACTGTAAAAACTCTTTTGGGCTTCTTTTATGTGAGATGATTTACTCCATTCTATGTCTCCCTTCCCTCTTCTCCCAAAGCATTCCTATTGTTTACACCTAAATTTCTTTTTAAAGATATCATCTTATCATATTCAACTCACACTCGTGCCCTCTGTCTAGTAGATTCCTTCTAACTACCTGAATAATGAGAAAGTTCTTAGGAGTTACAAGTATCATCTTCCCATAGAGAAATATAAACAGTTGGGGAAGCTGGGTGGATAGAGCACCAGCCCTGAAGTCAGAAGGACCTCAGTTCAAATCCAGCCTCAGATCAAACACCTGACACTTACTAGTTGTGTAACCCTGGGCAAGTCACTTAACCTCAACTGCCTAAAAAAAAAAAAGAAATAAAAAAAAAAGAAATATAAAACAGTTTAACCTTACTGAATTCCTTATGATTTCTCTTTCCTGTGTACCTTTTTATGCTTCTCTTAAAACTTGTATTTGAAAGTCAAAATTTCTATTCAGCTCTGGTTTTTTATCAGGAATGCTTTAAAGTCCTCTATTTCATTGAATATCCATTTTTCCCCTGAAGGACTATATTCAGTTTTGCTGGGTTGGAGATTTTTGGTTGTAATCCTAGCTCCTTTGCTTTCTAGAACATCACATTCCAAGCCCTCTGATCCTTTCATGTAGAAGTTGCTAAATCTTGTGTTATTCTGACTGTGGTTCCATAATACTTCAATTATTTCTTTCTAGATGGTTGCAATATTTTCTCTTTGACCTCAGAGCTCTGGATTTTGACTACAATATTCCTAAGAGTTTTCATTTTGGGATCTCTTTAAGGAAGTGATCAGTGGTTTTTTCAATTTTTATTTTACCTTCTGAATATGGGTTCTAGAATATCAGGGAAGTTTTCCTTGATAATTTCTTGAAAGATGATGTCCAGGCCCTTTTTTTTTTTTTAACCACGGCTTTTAGGTAGTCTAATAATCCTTAAATTGTTTGTCCTTGATCTATTTTCCAGGTTAGTTGTTTTTCCAATGAGACATTTCACATTTTCTTCTTTTTTTCCCCCTTCTTTTGATTGTTTTATTGTTTTTTGATGCCTCGTGGAGCATTAGCTTCCACTTGCCCAATTCTACTTTTTAAAGAATTATTTTCTTCATTGAGCTTTTGTACCTCCTTTTCCATTTGGTCAATTCTACTTTTAAAGCAGTTCTTCTCTTTAGTGAATTTCTGTACATCTTTTTCCACTTGGCCAATTCTGCTTTTTAACGATTTCTTGTCTTCAGTGAATTTTTGTCTATCTTTTTCCATTTGGCCAATTCTGCTTTTTAAAGGTATTCTCTTCATTGGATTTTTGTGCCTTTTTTTTTTATATCATTTGGCCTAGTTTGTTTTTTAAGGTATTATTTTCTTCAGTATTTTTTGGTGCCTCCTTTACCAAGCTGTTGACTTTTTCATGATTTTCTTGCATCACAGTGATTTCTTTTCCCAATTTTTCTTCTACCTCTCTTATTTGATTTTTTAAATCCTTTTAGAGCTCTTCCAGGATCTGAGACCAATGCACATTTTTCTTTGAGGCTTTGGATGTAGCAGTTTTGACTTTGTTTTCTTCTTCTGAGTTGGTGTTTTATCTTTCCTGTCACTATAGTATCTTTCTATGCTCAGGATCTTTTTTTGTTGTTGTTTGTTTGCTCATTTTTCCAGTCTATTTTTCTTTTTTCTTTTTTTTAACTTTTAGCTTTATATTAAAGTTGGGGTCGGCTCCTGGGGTAAGGGGGATACTGTCCCAAACTTCAGGTTTTTTGTGTAACTGTTTTCAGAGCTTGTTCTGGGGGTGAAGGGGTGGTCCATAACCTTTCGGCTCTTTCAAGGTAGTGTGATCTTTGGAGAGGTGTGTTTACTACTCTCCTGGCCTGTGAGCAACCACAAAAAAACTTTCCCACCCTGGAACTGTGACCAGGGTCCTTGCTTCTCTGCAGCCACAAGCTCTGGTGTGCTAGGGCTCCTCTTTGCCCTGGGACTGCGACCCAGATCTGAGTAAGG